TTTCTCAACATCCACTATTCCTGACGCTGTATAGCCGTGCGTTTGCGTAATGAGAGTAAGCTGTCCTAGAAACACCACCGAGGATACACACAGCATGTCTCAGCTAAGCCTCCAATTCTTACAGCAAGTATTCCGGCTGCGAAAACTCCGATCTGTCGATACATCGCCTGAAGGTTTTGGATGAATACGTAAACAAAACCAGATACCTCAGAAACCAGAGAGGTCTTGCTACAAATTTCGACCCCTTCTAGCAGATTCTTATTCAAGAGATAAACAGATTAACTATTTGATATTCAATGAGATTAAAAAAACTGAAGACACACAAATCTCGTCTCTTACCACTTCATTTCAGTGTTCCACATCCTCAGTCTCTTTCATCTACTTAGGCAGTGTTACTTTTAACGAATATATCCCTTCACACAGACTGTAAGAGTCAGCCAGTGCTGCTAAAACCACGTTCTTCCCCGATCACTACAGCAGAAGGCAAAGCCACCTGAACACCCCGGGCACGTGCCGGGGTCAGCTGCAGACCAGAAGCCAACTCTTGCCGCGGGTGCCCTGAGAATCACAGCAGGACTGTCTGAGAAGGACGATACTGGTGGTGTTAATTAGCGCAGCTGCTTTGCTTTCTTCTTTAAAGATGGGTGGGTGCACAAAACATCTGAGGACAGTGTCTAAATCCCGTCCCATCCCAGCAAGCCGCAAATACTTGCGGAACTATCTGATTCCAGAAAGGTTAAGAGAGGTTTTTCTTCAATAATTTCTTTTTTTGCCATGACTGAAAGCTTGACGCTGATGAGCAGGTGCAGAGGGTGGTGCCTCCTACAGTCCCTGCCGTGGCTGTCCGATGCAACAGCCCAAAGGAAAACGCATCACACCGAAAACCTGGCTGGCAGGTGTCTGACAAAACAGCCCCAAACCCCACAGTTCCAAAGAGGGGCAAATTGGGCAAACAATCCTCTGGAGGAGACAGCTGGCGAGCACGTGTCGTGCCACTCCTTCCCCAGTGTGCCGCGGCGTTCACCCAGCAGCCCCAATAAAACAACTTCAGCCAGTGCCGAGCAGCTCTTCCGCAGCCCGGTACGCCTCGGGGTGGTTTTCTGGGAATCCCACCGACTTCAACAGAAGCCGTCAACGGAAGGAAGAGCACCTCATCAGCACCCATGAAGATGAATGCCAAGGGGAAAAGGGACTAGAGAGCCACCTTTCTTCAGAGGCCTTCCCTCTTTTAACTCTGCGGAATTCATAACATCTCCTTCCCATTTTTCAGAGGTCAAGGCTCTCCTCAACAAATTTAAGAGACGCTCTTTCGATGTCTCAGGCTTGAAGCGCGTTAGTCGACATCACAGGACAGCTATTCATCCAGCAGCTGGCTTCCAGAGCGTGCCGCCTGTCGCCTTCCGCCGTTACCAAAAAAAGGGAGCGTTCATACAGTACGTTTGGCTATCTTCAGCCATCCTGGGTCCTATCCCGCCTGCTAGCGTACTGGGAGAACAAATGGCAACTACATTCCGAAAGTGCGGGGCTGCACAACCAATGCTATTAAATGTTCGGGACGCCAGATCACAAATCCAGCCCTGCACTCGATCCACAGCGCAAGAGCTCCCTCTCCCCGCTTCCTTCCACGCGTTCGAAAAGGGACACCCAGGACCATGTGCGCTGTTCTGGAGAGGCGAATTCCCCCCCTGCTTCTCCAACTTCCTTCACCGGTTCTTGATGACAGAGCTGTCACTGCCACACAAAAACACCCTCAGCCAAGACCCAGTCAAGCTCCGAAGCATCTGTCCGAATGAATTACAGTCCGGAACCACAGACTGGTTTGGGTTGGAAGGGACCTTAAAGACCATCTAGTTCCAACCCCCCTGCCATGGGCAGGGGCACCTTCCACTAGACCAGGTTGCTCAAAGCCTCATCCAGCCTGGCCTTGAACACTTCCAGGGATGGGGCAAGAACCAAACACGCCCGCAGCTCCCTGGGGCAGGCAGGGTCTGGGCTGAGCCCCCCCAGGTCACCCTCAGGCCAGCTCCAGCACGAGCTCCTCAGAACAGCACCCAGCCTACACTTTGCTCCCACACATCTCCATACCCACTGCCAACTGCACCCACATGGCACCAGCCCAGTCCCACTACCCAGACCTCTCTTTTCCTCCACACGAGGAACCTCTGCTGCATACACTTCCACCAACAGAAAGGAAGCTGGAGAATAAGTATCCATGAGTTTTCTAATGTCTTCAAGGCAAAATAAAAGCTTTGGGTGGACCACAACTGTGCTTAGTGACAAACATCCTTCAAAGCTTTTTAAACAGCAGTCAGCTAGCCCAGGTCAGAGCACTACTGTCAAAAGCAGGGCATTTCCATTCCATACCTGAAATCACACTAATACGGTTCTGAAAAACAGGCACCTCCTTCTCCAGAAAGTATACAGGGCAGAAGTCGGACATGACATTAAAGTAGGGAGAAAAGATGGGCCTAAAGTACATGAGGGGTTTTTATGAACAAGCAGCACATTAACTACAACAGTCAGAGTGAACTTTCTTCATCTCGACTTGCTCCCCAGAGCTCACATATTAGAGTATTAAAAACCTGGAGCGCACCCAACAACGTACACCAGGCACTGAGTAAAGCATCTGCCCCCTTAGATTCGTTCACATGTAAGGCTCAGGGACAGCGGGGCAGGGGGCAGAAGTGTTTTTACCTCTGTTCCTCTCCCTTTTCCATCCCTCGCTGCCACTTACATTTAATTTATTGACTCAGTTTATCCACAATAATAGGGGAAAGGGACCCAAGAGAAAAGCAGCGTTTATCTACTGCCCAAGTCCAATGAAAAATTGCCAGCTGTCGATTTTGTACTTTAGGTTTAAGTTAAATCAACATACAGCCCACCACAGTACAGCCTCACCACTCATCTCTAAAATACAGGTGGACAATACAAAGCAACATCAAGTTTTCCCACTGTTTGTTACCCCATTTCTGCAGGAACAACTGGCGACCCGAGGTGTGCGCTGCGTGCTCAGCCCTGCGGCTCTCAGCTCAACACCCAAGCCGACCCTGTGCATCCATAACCTAGCTCAGGGATGCAAACTCAGCCCTAAAAAGCCTCTGCTTGAGAGCCCCGTGTCATACGTTCACAGCCACTGCTCTAACGGTACAACAGAGGCGTCTTTTTCAAAGAGGTGTGAATTAATTTTAATCCCAAGGACACGCCTGACAATCAGAAGACAAAGATTTAAATCACCTTCATTACTTAAATCGTAACTACAACTTTTCTATCAGAGCTTAGCGAGTTGCAGAAACTGATTTATTTTTCTCCTGCAACATGGGTTGGATAACAGTAATTCAGAGACAGTTTTCTGCCATCCACGTGCAAGCAGGAAGCCGGTAATTCGTTGTTTTCCATACGTTACTCTGCTTTGCAGAGCTTTAAAAAAAAAAAACCAAACACCACCTCACTGGAACAAGGATTTCAAAATTAAAAACTCAAAAACTATAAAGCTAGAGAGAAAACAGGGCACATCAAGCAAGAAACAAAATGCTGCTAGCTGGATGGCTGTACTTTTATTCCCCTGAAGGTCCTAGAAGGTTGCAGTAACAGCTCCCACCAGTTGTTCTACAAGGTAAAGACAACATGATACACTAGTACGAGATGGACCTCATCGAGACGTGTCTAAACCACGTTTTAGAACACAATGAATACACACCCTCGTTGTGCAATTACCTTTCACAACAAAAGAAGAGTTAACAAATTAATTTTAAGTCCGAAAAAACCAGGAGAACTTGAAGTTTTGCATGCCATTCCTCCAGAATACTTGAATGAAAAGCAGTTTTGATCATCTTCACTGTTTTTCTCTAAGGTGGCCTTCTGAGAGAAGCCAAGTGTTGTGGGCATGACCAGAATTTCAGTTAAATCAGCTTTCACTCCAAGAATCATCCGTATGGCATACTTCCACTTGGAGCCAGAGGTGAAGGTTTTATTATTTAATCCTGGTTTTAGGTACCTCAGCACTCCCAGCATCGGATATATCCTGTATTCCTTCAGTTTAAAGCACAGTGAGTAATTCTGAGCAGAAGCAGAACCTCCCACATACTCCTCCCAAGCTGCACCAGAAGTTTACTTCCACCTACTGCGCTCCCTGGAGAAATTAAAATCCTGTCCCTCTCCACGGCAGCTACCGGTGAGGATCAGCATCACAGGAAGAGCCAGATAAATAGCCACGGAAGTCAGTGGGCAGGTGGTTCTCTCGTAGCAGCTATCATGACTGAAGAGGGAATTCTGTGCGGGTTTGAACTTGTGACCTACTAACAAACAACTTCTCTACTCCCTGATTATCAAGTCTCTTCACCATGATCCTCTCAAGGGGTTGAAAGGGGAAGAGCTCTTCATTTTCCATGTAACAGATGACTAGCTTCTAGATAAAGAGATACTCATATTGGGGGGGGGAAAAAAAACCAAACCACCACACCACAACCCCAAAGCATCAGAAAACTTTAAACAACATCTCTTTACAGCATAAACCACAGCAGGCATTACATTTCAACTGCAAAAGAGCTGTACTGCCTCCTGAGAACCCAAGAGTCGTACAAATTGCTTCTAAGCAGTGTTACAAGTATCAGTCAGGACAGCTTACTTTTCCAGATGTTTTCAGTCATCATTATCTCATTATTTCAGGGAGCAGAAGATCAGCTCATGCCTTACCACACAGCCTCACCTGTCTTCTTAAAAGAAGAAGAATTATAGTTTTTGCATTCATATTCAGAATAAGCCCTTCAAAAAAAGGATTGCAGAAGTTTTGGCTTTCGTCGGGTTGCCGTTTTGGTTTATGGGCAAGAGAAGCCACACTTGCCAAACGTTAATGTTTACGCTAGTACCTCTCCAATACTTCAGTTGGGACATAAACTTCTAACACGTAGATTTCGTAACGCAGATGTCATCATCATCCTGTTGCAGAACAGCGCTGGAAGCCTCGCTACACGCCACAGGTTCGCCCACCCGAAGTCACCTGTTTACAGCACGGTCTCTTGGCACATCCTGACCGGGATGTTATAGTGCCTGTCGTCTTCCGTTATGAGAGTCACCACGGGCCAGTCCTCCTCCGGGTCGTTGGGATAAAGCGTGATGAATTCATCAGTGCTATACTTATACAGTCGATACACTTGGATGGTATGCTGCAGAGCATAAGCAAGGAGAAACATTTCCACCTACGTCGGAAGAAGGCAGAAACACGACATGTAAAATTAAACGTACATTTTACAAGATCCATCTTGTAAGATTACTAAACTAATACCCGAGCATCTGCTGTTTGGCATCTCAATCATTCAAGCCATTCCTAACTTGCTGCACAAAGGATGCCACGCCTTTAACATGGAGCCTTCAGACTCAACAGTAGGGCATTAGTCCTAACAAAAAGCTACTTTATAGAGAGAATCCCACTTCCCTACATCCACAAACAGGCAGGAAAGACAATTTCTCATATCAGTATTCGTCCCATTAAGTCACTAAACCAGGCAAGAATGGGTTTCAGGCAATGATCCTTCCCCTTCAGGTACTCTGAACTCTCTGGCCAAATAAAAAGCAGACAGAAGCACCAGCAGCCAGACAAATCTCCATGTTTAAAAGGAAGGCCTTTACAGAATCTTATAGAATCAAGGGGTTCTACTATATTTTCCCCCAAGGAAAGACCAGACTGAATTTAATGGTGTACTGGCAACAATTCGACCAACAACAGCTGCTGATTTTGTAAACCACTTGAACCCAGAGTCTCCAAAGGAGGAAAGCAACACTGTAAGAATGATCTCTCCTTACTTGTTCAAGGCCTCCACTGTGACCAATATGATTCAGGTGATTATGCATTAACTGACAAGGGTTGCTAGATGTATCCCGTGCAAACAGTAACCACGAGAAGACAGGAACTCTCCTTCCATCTTTATCGTCATTGTATAATTCGATGGCGGTGTTCAGCATCAGAAACTTCAGCGCTTCATAGAGACTATACTCCTCCTCTTCGTTTTTAAACAATTTATCACAAGCTTCTTGCTTCTCAACAGGACCCTTGATTTCACTTATATTCTTCCACTATAAAAAAACCCAAGCCAACACAGACAGCACGTATCAATAGCCAGCAACGTGCAAGAGCTGTAAAAAGCCATTTGTGAACTGTCAGATGCACAGCGTCGGCACTCAGAATCCGAATTTATGAAGGGCTTTGTGCCTTTTTAAAAGGCACTTGAGAATATTTCCACAGCTGTAGTCCTGTCAAGGTCAAGTTAGTCTAATTTTGCTTAAAATGGTCCTTAAGCAATGCAAAAGAAGGGGATGTTGGAATTTGGTGGAAGGTGGCAAAACAATAATCGCCGTGCGACAATAAGCAACAAGATAAAAACTTTTCAGTGCCCTGTATCATACATCCTTCATATTCTTTACACTTCATTTATTCAGATTGCATATTTCATTCCCACCCTCATAAACTGCTTGAATGCAGCCTTCAAAATACTCTTAAAACCCATAAAAAAAGAGAGAGAATATGCATACACAGTAAGACAGGAACAATGAAAGAGTTTTTAAATATGTTCCAGAGTTTCAAGGGGGAAAAAGATGGGGCCAAGTAATACACTATGAATGCTGAAAAGGCACAGCCATTTTCTTGTTATGTTAACCTAGAATAAAAACATACAAACACACAAAAAGACCCCTACTCCTTTGAAATTATTGCAGCATTATTCTAGTTTTTTTTTTCTTTCCATGACCCGTCCAGGGTAGCAACAACCCGTATCCATAGTATACATAATTCCTTCAAATACATACAAGAAGTAACAGCGGCCAAACGTTACTCTATTCCATGAATTTCTTCATTGAAACATGTTTAATAGTTTTCTGCAGAGCTGCTTACAAATTAGTTCCAGCATCAGGCTAATGCAAGCAGTGGAAGAGCAGAAAACTCCCACAAGATCTGAACAGACATTCTTTTCTTGGTTTTTTTTTTCAGTATACATACAGAAAAGTGACCTTTTTTCACTAGTGAACGCATCCCTGTGATAAATTCACCCTCCAAAACTCTTGCTCATTTTTCTTAGTTGCGAGTGACCAAGAATAAACAAATACTTTTCCAACCTTTTTCCTTAGAAGCATTAAATATTCTTTAATTTCATCACTTATTTCTCCCATCTTCCTGCCCAGTCTGTGTTTCAGCTGCCACTGCTTGATCCAGTCATACTTGCTTAGCAAGTTTTCGGGAAGCTGCAAGGTGAAGGAAAAGACAGCTTAAGTGAAAAGTCTTGGAAGAAAAAGCCACCACCTTGCACATTATTATTTTTCTTGAATTTATTTGTATTTTGCACCTTGAAATGATGCCTCCTATGTTCTTCTGAGCAGATGTCATGCTAACGTTGAAGACAACTGGGTCTTTATAATACTTGCTGCATAACAGCCAGAATACTGCTCTGTTACTATTCCCTGATCTAACCAATACACAGGCAGTGGAAACAACTAATCAAGTAACTCACAGCTTTTTGTTAATTTAATTACAAAAACCTCCAGCAGCAGCTGACAGTGACTGTGTTTGAAAAATGTCCCCGAAACAACAGAAGAGAAGGCTAAAATTGTGACAACATGCACCAGATAAGCCAGATGCGTTGGTGGAGCGCAAACTACTTAGCACAGACCACAAAAAACTTGCGTTCTTTTCAGAGAATTTAAACCACCACTGGACCAGTTTTCTGATAAAGAAGAAAACCTCCTGAGGATGAGTGGATGCATCAGATCACACTTCAGCCGCAGAACGGCCTCTTTTACCTGCTCACGTGCTATGGCAGCTCAGTAAAGGGCTTTTACACACCTCTTCAAGGACACTGTGGCAGTTGCATGCCTGTTTTTTCACCCATTTTACCCCTACAACGGGAAAAGTAACTTGCCTCTTACATGGAATTAAATATTTGGCTAAAGCAGCACATATACCCTCAGCAGTTACCAGACAGTTTTCATTTTATCAGGACTCCAAATCAGTAAATGTTCTTTTTAATGGCAACCAAGTATTTAATTTGTCAGATATACACAGACCTTCTCCCACCCCAGCCTGGCATCCTGTGCTAATCTGAAATACAGAACTACATAATCAAAGGTTATATGGCAGTAACTGCTGCAACTAGAGATGAGCATGTAAGCAAGGTTTTAATTTATTTAAAACACACTCAACCCCACACTTTGTTGAAATTGTACTGCTGGCCATCACCACACTTTCTTACATGTCCTGTGCTTCCATGTATTAACAGATTATTTTTAATTAGTGCATTTCATTAAGTAACTTCAGAGAGTCATAGAATGGTTTGGGTTGGAAGGGACCTTAAAGACCATCTAGTTCCAACCCCCCTGCCATGGGCAGGGACACCCCCCACTAGACCAGGTTGCTCAAAGCCTGATCCAGCCTGGCCTTGAACACTTCCAGGGATGGGGCATCCATAGCTTCTCTGGGCAACCTGTTCCAGTGCCTCACCACCCTCTCCGTGAAGACCTTCTTCCTGATATCCAATCTAAACCTCCCCACTTTCAATTTAAACCCGTTACCCCTTGTCCTGTCACTACAGGCCCTTGTAAAAAGTGTCCCCCAGCTTCCTTGTAGCCCCTTCAGGTACTGGAAGGCTGCAATAAGGTCTCCCCGGAGCCTTCTCTGCTCCAGGCTGAACAAGCCCAACTCTCTCAGCCTTGTACGCCTTTGTAAAAAATGCTAATTACCACAATATAACACACTGTCCTCTATAAATCAGAAGGAAAAAATAGCAGTCAAATTATTTTCACCTAAGCAGAACCTTTTTGAAAGTTTACATGTTTGCTAAAGGGGCACTGGAAAACTAGAGAAGATCATTTGACAGTGTGAAGACACATGTCAGCTGGGAGAATGTTTTCTAAGAAAAAAGGAAACCTTTTTAGGCTGTACTGATGCAGTAAGAAGCATTTCACAGGAATATTTTTATCAGTAAAGTCAAAAACACGTCAGCAGAACTTTACTTAACGACGACAGTGATCACAAGGAGAAATTGTAAAGATGGCCCTGAAGTTACATGGGAAGGCAAGAGGAGCAGGATGATCCTAGCTGGACTGCTAGCTTGCAACACGGAATCTGCGCTAGAAATTCACCATTTATGTTTCCAGCAGGAACCCAGACAACTGGACACCTACTCTCCTAAAGTGGGACGCTGTTGCGTAGGCAGCTTCTCACTTGTTTCTTCCATGTTCACCGATATCACCAAATGGACTTTGCTGATGCTAAACAACTTCTGGAATATTTTTCTTCTACTCTCAGTAAGCCACCTTGCTTTGTTTATCCATCAATGCTCCACAAGGACTTTTCATACCAGGTTGGAGTTGCACAAACACACTTATTTTAAGTAGCGTTTAAGACACAAGAAATACATGTATTCTGAAAAGCCTGCAGCACCCCATTTGTTAACCCACTTTCTAGAGGAAGCATATATGGCAAGCAAGAATACAGATCAGTTTAAAAAAAAACCCCAAACCCCAGATTTTAAAAGTGTGCTTAGAATAAGTTGTTTATATATTAGCTGTCTTAGGGAAAACCTCTGACTGCGGTATTACCTGCCCTAGGAAGAAACCGAGGGGGCAAGATGAAGACAAACATTACAGTCAGCCTTACAGTAACATTTAAACATTATAAACTGAAAATGAAGGAGAGCTGGACTCCATTCCAAATTGAAAGTATCCCTGTAAAATGACAAGAAAACTGGACCTTACCACTTCTGAATTCAAGGGATACTGAGAAGTGAGCATACACCATAACAGAGAAATGAGATTATAAAATTCTCCAATAGGTTAGAACCAACACTCTACTCCTGTCAGAAGACCAGATTTTGACACGTACCATAGTGAAATCCTCACTCCGCAGCCAGCTTGGTAACTGGGTAGTTTGGCTTAGTGCCTGGAACAGTGTTGCTCTGAGAGCACAATAGTTATCACCTCGTACTCTTCTTATAGATGCAAACTTCTGAGCAACTGCTTCGTATCCCTAGAAGAGACACAAAATCCAAACAACATGAAAACATCAATAAAACATTTTAATGTCATGCATGAGTATCATAAAAGATATGGGAATACTAGCAACCAAATGCTAATTCTATTTAAAAAAGGATTTGATCCACTACTCATTTTAGAAGTTCAAATGGTTTTACGTCACAAATTATGCTTTGAAAAAAACCCTGCTGAATAACAAAGAAACCAAAGAAATTAAGTGGATAACTGGTGATGGCATTTATTTGATGACGGAGCAGAAATATCATTGAAATGTGGGCAGCCAACTCACGTCAGTTTACAAAAAATTCCAACCATACCTACACACAGACGACTGCAAATCCAAAAAGACATCATGCTTACAAGAAGTTTCAGCAACAAGTTATTCCACTTACCCAATACGTGTCACATGTAGCTTGTTGCTGCCGCAGGGAAAATTTGTGTTTACACTGAGGTACCTCGACACATGCCTCGGCACATCTGTCCCCTCCCTGCTGTCCCCATACCTACCCTTTTAGCAGAAGCAGAAACGTCGAAACGACTTCTGAAGCTCAGCACGTCTCTCCAGCTAACCTAGCAAGATCCAATGCCTTTCCCCATCTGTGTTTCCCTCACTAACCCTTGAAGGTGGCACATGGATCTTTTGATTCATGGAAAGTATTTCTTAGGTTTGCTCACACACACGCTAGATTTTCAAACAGCATTACAAAAAAACAAAACCACCCAACCAATCTTATGCTTTATTTTCTACCATTCTACCTCAAGATTAATCTAAGAAAGCTAGCCCAAAACTTACAAAAAAAAAAAGAGAATTCAGGAAAAAATTAAGAAAGACTAAGCCTATTCATTAAAGCTCCCCATCTTAAAAATCATGCAATTCACCAACTTCAATCATTTACCTCCTGTCAAGAAGTTTAGTTATCTGCTCTGCTGCTTCAACCACCCACAAAATTACCACTTTATGGTAATAAACCAAATTTAAAGCTTTAATTGAAAACAGTAATGAAGAATATTACTCAAAACCCTACACTATCAACAAGTAAACTTGCCAAAACCCCACATTTTCAACCAGTACGAACAAAATCATCCTTTATAACCAGACACTGGAAAACACTGCTATTGTATTTCCCGTTTTAAAGGTTTTTCCCATAGGAAATCACCTACTGAACATACAAGTGAAACCAAAAAGGTCAACAAAACTCAATAAAAAGAGAACTGATACCTTTCTCATTCTTATTGCTACCGGCGTGCTTCCTCTCCATTCTTTTCGGCAATACTCCATGATGTCCGTTTCGGGCGCAACGCTTACTTTGTGTTCTATCAAAAGAGAACATGCAACGTGAGAGGGAGAACTGCCAAAGGGAACAAGAGAGGAGAAGCGCTGAATTTCTAAACACACTATCACTTTACCATCAGTGCCACAGGAGAATGGCAGCACAACCCATAGCTACTGAGTAATCATTAGTATCGGAGAGGGGAAAAAAACCAGCTCGCTCTGCAAACGACAAGTGAACAACAAATAACATAGCAGTCCAACCAGAGAGAGAACACTCTGCTCCTCTCTTCTGAAAAACACTACTTGGCAAAGAGTAGAAATGAGTACTCTGTGTTCTTAGTGAAAGTTTCTCTTCTTCCTTCAGCAGCCAGACCAGTAGGAAGAAAGAGAATAGATCTTCCTGAATAAGCTACAATGGTAGAAAGAAGAATACAGGTTTCTCGTAGAATCCCAACAGCCTTTATTCCAAAACAGGCAGTAATAAGGTTATCCCAGCAACAGATGTTGCTGCAATGACTCTAAATATGTAATTTGCAAGCACAATACTCATAACGCAGGCTATATGACGGCTTTCCAAAGGAGACACATTCACCTGTGAAGTAAGTATAGAAACATGGGGAAAAACAGATGAAGAGCAACTAGTCTTGCATAAGATTAGTCTTTTCATTAATTGGACTGTACCATGTACTCAGTCATTTGAAGAAGCTTCTAGTGCTCAGAGACGTCTCCGTGCAAAAGTCATTGCAAACAAGGGCGTCAAATCGTCACAAATTAGTGCTACAGTGAACTATAATGCTGTCTTTGAAACAAAAGGTCGAATGTACCTGAAGAACTTGTCTCACACAGTAATATTTTCTCTCTCTCTATTTCCTCTGCGTCACGATACATGTCCTCCTCACTGCAATAAAGAACACGTAACACATACTTCATGTAACAGCACAGATTTTACAGTAATTCACCTTTTCCCCCATTTACAACTGCAGGCAAATACCTAAATCTTTCTCTCTGTATATTTTCAACCCAATTTGCTTTCCACCTTACACATTTTCACAAAACCAACATAAGTTCTCAAAAAAATAAGTTTAAAACCACCCTCTCAACTGGGTTTGTTTAGCTTGGAGAAGAGGAGCTGAGGGGGGATCTTATCAATGCTTATCAATATCTAAAGGGTGGGTGTCAGGAGGATGGGGCCAGGCTCTTCTCAGTGGTGCCCAGTGACAGGACTAGGGGCAGTGGCTGGAAACTGGGAAACAGAAGGTTCAACCTGAACATGAGGAACCCCTTCTTCCCTGTGAGGGTGACAGAGCCCTGGGACAGGCTGCCCAGAGAGGGGGTGGAGTCTCCTTCCCTAGAGACTTTCAAAAGCTGCCTGGGCTTGTTCATGTGTGATCTACTCTAGGTAATCCTGCTTTGGCCAGGGGGTTGGACTAGATGGTGTCTGGACGTTCCTTCCAATCCCTTCCACTCTGTGAATATGTGACTGTTCCCCTCTCTTGTGCCACTTAACACTGGTAATGTATCACTGCCTGAATTTCTCTGCTGCTAACTGTATGGAGACTGAATACAGAGTACTAAAGTCTCTTTGTATTTGTAAATTTTACAGAACAAATTTGCAAACAGTACAAGCCAAAACACCTCCTTTGCTGAGTATATGAATATTGCAAGCAAAGGATGACACTAAGAGTGCGTTACTCACCACAGCTTTGTATCTGCGCTCCACAGGGGCCAAGCAACCTGCCTAGCAGTGAGCAGAGTATGTGGAAAATATCAGGATGAAAAAAGCAGCCAGTTATCTGCAACTGGTTTGAACATTACAAAGTCAAAGGACACAAAATTCTAAGCGTGATCCAAACTGCACCCTACAGGCTAACTGAAATGCAGACAGACATTTCTTCCTCAAATAATATGGCCTGTTTGGTCAAGAAAGGTACATTGTCTTAAGAGTCAAATGTCTCCAAATCAGCCTACATACCAACTTTCTGAACTCAAGTTATGGCCATGGAGGTGGAAAAGATGGCCTAAAAGGATATTGTTTCTATGCACAGCCTAGCATTATCAGGAAGAGATCTCAAAGCTAAGGTGTGAACATTAGTCTTGACAATGCAGGCCCACACAGTTTTCAAAAAACTGAACTGTAAACTTCACATTCCTTTAAATGTGATTGAGAGGCATCTGTCATACAATTATATCTAGCAATTAAACTCCAAAAATCACAGTTTCACAGCTAAAATACCTCAAAAACAAAAAACTTGCATCACCAAACATGTCAGTAAATAATTTAGGCTTACTGCTAAAAGAAGGTTACACTGAAAGTGTGTATTTTGAAGAAAATACGCGTGCAAAAAAAAAAAAAGTAAGGTTATTATCCATTACACCAAAAAACTCAAACTACAGCGTGCTTGCAAAAGACCAGGAAGAAATTAAGGCCCTGCCCCATCTCACACTCCTCAGGACAAGCAGCTAGGAGGACTGCAAGAAAGGGCTTAATTCAGTCAGCTGGTAATGAGATTACTCTCATTAAACCTGAAACGATACACTGGTAAATCACAGCTCTGTACTTCTTCGTATCCAAACTAGCTTACTAAAGGTAACAATTCTAACCCATCTGCGTATATTTCCCTTGAGAACAAAAACCCAAAAAAGTGTTCAGTATAGAGACAAAAATAGGTTAATACCAGGAAACTCCCATCTACTGTGCAGTCATATGAAACTAAGTTCAGTTTCTACCCAGCTTTAGCTTTTAAACTGTGTTTCTGGGCACTCAGGTAGCTGCTTGAAATCTGATTTGTAACAATAACTACATAATTAATTAAAAAAGAAACAAGAGATGCAGTACATACTAAACACAGTACTCCATAAAAAGTACTACCTGCTGAGAAGAAAAAAAAAAAGAGAAATACTTATCCCAAGTCCTCATCCTTGCTACACTGTAGCACCAGACAAACCCATTTCCACACATAATCGTATTTCTCAGCTGAGATTAAGGTCCATTAAGGTTTGTGAAGGATTCCAAGAGTACCTAATAACCTTGCAAATACGATGAAAAATCCCAAACAAACCGGTATCTGGCAGCAGCAGTCTCCAGCCTTGTATTTTAAATACTTGGATTCCAGATAACCTAGACAACAACCTCGCCCTCTCAGCATGAACAAACCTGCTTCTACAAGGGATCCCACGGGAGGTGGTGAGGCAGGGGGAAGCATTAATTGAGGATACATCCTTAAACACATTTAGGATATAATGCACGAAGAGAAAACACGCTCAACGTAGTTATCTAGTGAAGTCACTCAAAAAAAGCAGTTTGGTATAAAGTAAGCAGTGTCATGTTCCTTCTGCAAATATCACCCCGTCTTCCTTCTGGGAGTTGGCAAAATGGAAGTCAAGAAGTCAGGCAAGACTCAGGGCCTGACAGATTAATGTCCACCACAGACAAAGTACTGCAGCTTAACTGCGTCATCCTGAAATCAAGGTAGCTAAGAGGTGCAATCCATCTGCACAGGCACCCTCATTTCAGAGTTGGAAGTGCATCTTAGCCCTGTTCTAGCATGGCAACTGTTAACTAAATCTGTGGAAAACTAAAGCCTTTCCCCATTAATCTTCACAGTAATACTTGATTTCAAAATCAAATGTACTGTCAAATACAGATGCAACAGAATAATTACACAAAAACATGTATGCACAAAAGAAAAAAAAAGTGTATAGTGTTTGTGAATACACATAAATATTTGAACTAGTAAACCAGATTCTGCTGAGCCAAAGATACCAAGGGAAAAACCAAGGATCCCAGATCTTACACAGAGGATCCCCAGCTTTGCATTTTAAAAACAAACCACAACAAAAATCCTAAATCCCGACAAGTTAAGACAACAGCAAGCAAAATGATGCTGAAGGGAAAAGGCAAAATGTAAATAGTTTTATACTAGTAGATTTGCAGGAGCAGAACTCCCCGTACTGAAGATACCACATGAAAAGCAAAAACGACACTTAAAACCTTCCATTTACTATCAGGAAGGGGTGAATGTTTAATATTTAATGTCAGATTAAACACACTGCTACTAATAGTTCATGTAAAGGCATATTAGATAAATAGAATTAGCATGCCAAGTAGCAGCTAATTTAAAAATTTGGGCTAGAGATCGTTACGTACCTCACTTCTGCCAACACACAAATCTTCTTACGCATTAAGTGTACTTCGTAATAATGTTAAATGCGTGTTAATATTAAAAACCCACATTAACATATGCTGCTTAAATTACACAGTAATTAAATTACAGAGCAATTTAAGCATTAAGTAGGATTTTAAAAGTATCCTTGAAAATGTACTTATTTTTAGTGACTTTTTCACTAAGTCAGCACTTATTATAGATTTTGGATGTTGTCTAAAATAATCCACTGGCTACCTATAGAAAGAGGATTAAGGAGAAATCACTTTCTTCTCATTTCATTAATGTAGTCAACGACAAAGCCACTCTTAATGTGCATTACTTTTATTTTCAGAATCTCTTCTCTTAAAACCTGCATATTTATTTCTTCCTCCAGATACCCAATATTCTTGTAACAACTTCTACTCTCAAATCTGAATCACACCACTAGATTTTTTTTTAAACCTCCAGCTATAGGCTGAAGTAAAACAAACAGCTTAAGTGTTAGGATTTAAAAGAAAAAAAAAAAAGGCAGCCTTCTATGTTTGTCAGCACCACATCGAACAAAAGGTTCACAAGGTTAAAACCAGGCTACCAGAATATCTGCCTTCGATTCTTCGTGTCCCATGCACTGAAGGGCTTAATGTTCCATCAGTTATTCCCTTAGATGGGGAAAGACGACCACTAATGAACTATAAAAATTAAGCAATTTATCTAAAGGGTGAAAGTGGCCATCAAAGTTTGAGATTTGACATTTAGACCTATTTCACTAAGGCATATATGAAATTTCACCAAGAAATTCACTTTCACAGAATGACCCCTCCCTTTCTGTAGAAAAGCTGTTAATCCATTTTTAAAAGTATCCTCACCTGTCCTCAGATGACTCCACTGCTGAACAATTACTAGACGCCGACAGATACAGTTCACAGTTTCTAGATGCATCCTGATCTGTCAGAAGGGATTTAATCATATCTGTCTTCTCAGGTCTCCCAGTACTTCTGTACATATAGTCTTTCCTTATTTCCAGCGTAGGTTGTCCCTTCTGGTCAGCAGCTGCATTTGCTGAACTAAGTTCATTAGAAGGAACACCAACTTCCTTTCCATGCTTCATCAACTGCATGACAACACTCCCTTCTTTCTGTGTCTGATCCGCAGGTGCAGAACGGCTGGTTGGTTCTGTCATCCGCCCTTGAAAATTATCCTGGCTTTGAAGATCAGAAATATATGAAGAGTATCTCTCACAGAAGGGCAGATCGCATGGTTTAAGAAAATTAACTGGTATTTCAACAGTTATATCCCATTCTGAGGATTCGGAAGGTGTATTATTCAAAAGCAGAAACAAAATCGAGAATCATCCCACACAGCACCCAAGCTAGTTCAAACTCATCTCCTTGGCAAGCCAATTTTGTTTCTTACCAAAGCTAATCTGTGCCAGTTCCTCAAACACAAAGCACGCCAGCATTAGTGCCCTTACTGAACACTTGCTCTTCTCAAGGGCTATTTATCACCTAAAATCCTGAGGACTGACAGAAATCCCAATGAAACAGGTTTCAGTTCCGCAAGACAAGCATTTTTACAGACTCACTTGGTGCTCTATGAAACTTTGCACTGCACCAGGATCGCTGTTTAATGGAAAATGCACCAGGATCGCTGTTTAATGGAAAATGCACCAGGATCGCTGTCTTTCTAAGTTACTGGGAGACAAAACATCTTTGTTTCTTTCTAAGTTACTGGGAGACAAAACATTCTACAATCAACTCTAGTAAGCTGTCCGAAATCGTCGGATCTGCTCCAGAGATGTTTATTACATTTACCTCAAATTGATGCATTTGCACCCCCAACAAAAGAATTACGGGCTGGTTTGCTGTTGCCACATTCACGCTCTACACGATTCTGACTCCTACCTTCAGGATGAGGCCTCCC